TTGTGGAGAAATATCTTAACATGGTGCCAGCCCTTAGATGCTCCTTCTATCAACCATTTTCTAACTGACAGTGCCTCATCCTCCATAGAAATTCTGCCCACCTCTTGTAGCTCCAACTCCCACCTATTCACAACAACATCTTCAATCATTGCAAGTCCCCTTAGCCTTCCTTGATTTTCAGAACATTCAGTAGCACTGGAAGCATGAAACTGCTCCCCTACTCCCTGAATTGCTGGATTCTGCACTATTTCCCCCTGCACTATGCTATTATATTCAATCCACTCACCTCTGGCTTTCTCCACCACATGAATTTCTGAGATTTTCTCTTTTTTGAATATCCATCCATTTCTTCTTTTCCAAATCCACCATAGCAAGTATGTGGATAGGGAAATTCTGTCGTTGTTGTATTCTGTAACTTTCAGCTTGCACAGATCCATCCACCATTCCTGAAAAGAAATATCTGAAGAGATTAATCTCTCCCAGTGTAATCCTGCTATCTTCCATATCTTTTGTGCTCTATCACATCTGAATAACATATGTTCTAAATTCTCCTTCTCTTCTCCACACCAGCCACATATCTCATCCACATTCAAACCTTTTCTCTTCAATTTGTCTTGAGTGCCTATCCATCCATGCCAGCACCTCCACAAGAAATTTTTTATCTTTTGCTTGATTGGTAGTTTCCACAGCCTCTTCCACATTTTCTGCATTTGATCAGTTCGAGAGCTAGCCCCAATGTCTCCCATCAATTTTTGTTTTTGTTGAATAATGGTCTTGTAGGCACTTTTGACTGTGAATACACCCTTCTTGTCTGGATGCCATACTAATCTGTCTCTGGATCTTCTTTGACTGATATGTATTCTCATAATACTCTGAGCCACCTCTGGTTCAAAAGTTTGGAGGATGAGCTGAGAATCCCAAGCTTTCCCATCTTCAACCATGAGGTCTGCAACTTTGATAAGTCTCTGCTGGTCTCCTTCAAAGCATAAGTGAGGCTTAAAATTTGCAATATCAGGAATCCAAGGGGATTTCCAAATATTAATAGATAGACCATTGCCCACTTGGTACCTCAAACCTATTTTCAAATAATCTCTAGCCCCTAACCAACTTTTCCACATCCAAGAATCCCCACTCCTTTTTTTTACCTCAAAGATGTTCTGATCATGAAAATATTTACCTCTCACCACCCTACTCATTAAAATATTTGGCTTTGTCAGCACTCTCCA